CCCCCCCCCGTTTCCCCCCCCTCTCTCCCTCTCCCTCTCTCCCTCCCTCCCTCCAACCCATCCTTATGTATATAGCAGTTTCTGTAACACTGTGAACCATCGTACACACATAGACGTAATGAACAATTAATAGAATGACACGATTCACTTTATAGAGTTGGAACAAAATTAAGTTAAAACCAAACTTAAATATTCCTGGACCAGGTATAGCACATATTCCTGGACCAGGTATAGCACATATAGGTACTATATTAGGCCTCGGCGTGTATTAGGCTTAAGAAGGTTAGGTTAAGTTTTCTGAGCAACATCAATATAAAATCCTTTTTGGTTGGCCAATTTCAATAATACCGATTTCTAGTTTCTAATTGCCTGTTATGTCACTGTACAATAGTACTTATAGTCACGATGAGTACTATCCAAGCGGGAGGATTGCGGCGGATCAAGAGGATACAAGAGGATCAGGCTGCGAGCAGCCGCGTCCAACAGCCTGGTTGACCAGTCCAGCAACATGGAGGCCTGGTCGACGACCGGGCCGCGGGGTCGCTGAGCCCCGAAATCACTTCAAGGTAAGGATGGGGTGTTGTGTCAGACTCGCACTCTCTCTCTCCCTTGGAACCAAACCATAGGCTGCGTGACATGACACAGGGTAAAATCTAGATAAAGACAGTCTATTTAACACAAGGGGCACACGCACTAGGGGACACAGGTGGAAACTGAGTGCCCAAATGAGCCACAGAGATATTAGAAAGAATTTTCTCAGTGTCAGAGTGGTTGACAAATGGAATGCATTAGGAAGTGAAGTGGTGGAGGCTGACTCCATACACAGTTTATAATGTAGATATGATAGAGCCCAATAGGCTCAGGAACCTGTACACCAGTTGATTGACGGTTGAGAGGCGGGACCAAAGAGCCAGAGCTCAACCCCCGCAAGCACAAATAGGTGAGTACAAATAGGCGAGTACAGGAGAGGGGGGTGCATGACAGGGGGGGGTGCATGACAGGGGGGGTGCATGACAGGGGGGGTGCATGACAGGGGGGGTGCATGAGAGGGGGGGTGCATGACAGGGGGGGGTGCATGACAGGGGGGGTGCATGACAGGGGGGGTGCATGACAGGGGGGGTGCATGACAGGGAGGGTGCATGAGAGGGGGGTGCATGACAGGGGGGGGGTGCATGACAGGGGGGGGTGCATGACAGGGGGGGGGTGCATGACAGGGGGGGTGCATGACAGGGGGTGCATGACATGGGGGGATATCTGGGAGGCTGCAGGGGGGAGGGTAGTGAGGGGGGGGGATAATGATAATTAGGAACCTAGTGTTGTTGACGTCATGAATAAATATTATAGGCGAAGAATGATAGTTAGAATTTTTCAAACAATTTACGAACATTAGTGCATAATATTTTATGATACAGTAAGAAAAAAGTAAAAATATATTTGACTCAATTTAATACAATATCGAAAAATTCGTCGTTGAGGACGCTTTGGCACTTTGTCAAGTGGCACTCATTTATGACACTGCTGAATTGTCCATGTTGGGCACGTACCCAACAGCAATTACTGTTAAAAACTGGTGAGTCTAGCCATAGCTTCTGGCCTCTTACCCAGGACAGACAGACACTTTATTTTATAGATAATTTTATAGTCACACTGACTTACAGATACTTCTGGTAATTACCTCATCTTTCCCTTCCAAGTGCCTTATACTTATACTGACTTACTAATTTGTCCTCATAATTATCTGACTAATTATCTGACCTTATAAATAATATATATTACACTGATAATGACTTACACTTATGCTCATATTTCAGAGTGAAGACTTACGTAGTCTGGCACCACTGGACCACACACACCTGTGCCATAGTTAGGTGCCACACACACACACCTGGTTGTCATGCAAGTAAACACCTGTTGGTCACACACACACACACACAGGGGGCCTCGTAGCCTGGTGGATAGCGCGCAGGATTCGTAATTCTGTGGCGCGGGTTCGATTCCCGCACGAGGCAGAAACAATTGGGCAAAGTTTCTTTCACCCTGAATGCCCCTGTTACCTAGCAGTAAATAGGTACCTGGGAGTTAGTCAGCTGTCACGGGCTGCTTCCTGGGGTGTGTGTGTGTGTGGTGTGGAAAAAAAGTAGTTAGTAAACAGTTGATTGACAGTTGAGAGGCGGGCCGAAAGAGCAGAGCTCAACCCCCGTAAAAACACAACTAGTAAACACACACACACATCCTGGAGTATGCGGCCCCAGCATGGAGCCCGTACATTGTCAAGCACAAGACGAAGCTGGAAAAAGTCCAAAGGTATGCCACTAGACTAGTCCCAGAACTAAGAGGCATGAGTTACGAGGAAAGGCTGCGGGAAATGCACCTTACGACACTGGAAGACAGAAGAGTAAGGGGGAGACATGATCACAACCTACAAAATCATCAGAGGAATCGACCGGGTAAACAAGGATAAACTATTCAACACTGGTGGGACGCGAACAAGGG